CATGGGTACGTTACTTTCATTGAATTTTGGTAAAGCTAACATATCTCCAAAACGCAACTGCATCGATTCGCCAAGAGATTGTCCTAGAAATATGTAATTAAATTGTCTAAAATATTTTATTTTCCTCATAGAATTATAAACCGCCAGGAGCGAAGGATATTCCTGAAGATTTCCGTGTATTCTTACGCAAGAAGTCGGCCAACACTGTCGGTATCTTTGGCTCAAAAGGTAAGAATAGTAACCTTTTAAGTCTCTTCATTCTTGAATCTACATTTACCATCAAAAACAAAATTTCAACGTTCTATTTGTTTGCATACAGTTAAAAACTTTTCGAAAACTTCTTGCAAGAATCTTTAAATACACAAAAGTCGAATTTCTCTAATTCATACTTTAGACTAACAAAACTGAAAAACATTAGTAAAAGCCTGTCGGAGGATAGATTTGAGAGAATAAAAGAATCGATTAATTGTGAACATCTCTTTGCAGCAACCGGTGAACCACCGCTTTGCATGAGTTACGTGATTCCGATCGCGATCCGCAACGCATTGAATTCCGCTAGGGCGGACGCAGGGAATACGGACGAGTGGTATCGATTGGGTAAGCTCTAAGTAAAAATATAAATGTGTTAGGTGTACTTGACAATCTCCTGGATTAGCTTCTACAAGTCTCATAAGTGCGAATTATTCGCAAATGCAAATTTTTCTGTAAAAATCCATAAAAAATTATTATAATGTATATTCCTTTACGATATGTAATTCTTGCAGATGGATCATGCACCACCGAGCGTATACTTCTAACCAGTTTAACCAGCAAGGATGGCATGGTACTTTGAGAGGAAAAGTAAGATTCATTCGCAAATGCTTAAAATAATCCTGTACTTATTCGCTTTTGATCGTTTCCTAAGTGGAATAAATTTCGAGGTCCTGTATGGCAAGAAAATTTATCTATGTTTCGTCGATACAAAAGAGGATACTAATGAGATCATTCGATTAGTTAACAGGTTCTTAACATAACTAAGGTATAACTTCCGTTTTATGGTAAATAATTTCAATAAATATTCTCTATTAAACGCCATTGATGTGCTACATAGTAAATATTACAACAACATATCTGCAGTGTGTAATTGGCATTAATGTGTGATAATATAATATAAAGTATGTCGTAAATAATAATCGTAAATAATAATTCAATATAAGTATATTACCTCTCGAGAGAGAATCTACAGCAACGATTATTACCTTTATATACGCAGACATCAAACGTTAAACACGTCGATATCGTTTGCATTATTTGCACTTGAGGGTGGATGAGGAAGGGTGTAAAAAAAAACGGAACGAAACGAGATTATGGCATACTAGAGGTTTGATTCGCAAAATTAATTATATAACGTGCACCGAGTCGTGCTTGCCGCGAAATGGAGATAATAACGCTTTCTGGAATGTGTTCTTTCCGCTGTGTCACTCACGCCATTCTCAAGACGTCCCGTTCACTCGACATAACGTTATTTATGCTATTCACACGTTGCGCTTCACGCAAGTAAAAAAAGAAACATGCCAAACTTAACTCAACGCGCGGTCTTAATAATTAAAAACTGTCGGAGCGCGCGTATAACGAATACAACTTCAAGCATAAATAGCGAACAGTGAAAACCGACGTAATCTGGGAGAAACCGAGTTACGATGCCGCAATGTATGTCTCATTGCGTTTCCCTAAGCACGAATAAAGACGGGAGATCATTCTCAGGCGACTATGTAGCATCGGTATCTAAATTTTCCGAGATTAAATCGGTTTTTCTCCCCGATAAATAAGTTCCGCGTAACCAGAGCGTGCGCTTCTCGATCTTTATCGTTGCCCTCCGCCGGTTTCCTTTAACAACATGCCACGCAGGGATGAGTAAGCGGAATAAAAGATTCTTCAAGCTGAACCCCCCCCTCTCTCTCTCTCTCTCTCTCTCTCTTTCTCTCCAACGCTCGGAAGCAAAAAACCGTCCCTCTTCCGTATATACCTCTCTAATCCAATAACGTCGCGAACTACCTTAAACGTCGGGTACACTATAGAAAGTAGAGCGGTCCCTTTCGTTATTGTTTGAACGCAGAATAATGATATATTTCGCGCTTGCTCTTGATCATCGCCAAGCACGTATTTGCGTGGTCGAACGTGAAAGCAGGCGGCCACATGACGACTACAGTCATCCAACTCGGACGAGACAATAATGGGACAAATGTTTCAATGCCATGTCTCCGCAGACAACGCCGAAGAGACATATTTTTCCTCTAATTAATCCGCTTGCGGGACAATTATGTCACGAAAAATTAATATGCATGCATTAGGAATAATACTATAATACGAATAACAAGGCAGCAGTGATTGCATCTTTGTTACTGCTCGATTTTTTCGGAATCATGGGATGTTATTTCAGAATTTGAATACGAACGAGTCTCTAGATTGAACAAGTACATTTAAAAGATTTTTACTCTCTGAATTCAGAATCTAATTAAATTTTCTGTTAAGATAGAATTAAGGAAAAATTAAGATTTCGTTATTTATTCTGTCCAACCCTTCGAGGATTAATTCACCTAAGACGTCTCATGATTCTATACATGAAATATACACGTATATAATTTATTCCAAGAAACAAATAATATAATAAATTTTGAATTATACTATTAGCCGCTAATTTATATTAATTAAACTATCTGACTATCCATTAGATTTAGTTTCAGTCTCGTCCAAATCGCGACTTTAATCACCATTCGATCACGCTTTGCATGCTGCACACACGCACTGCATAAATTTTTAGTGCGCACGCGCGCACGTGTGTGTGTGTGTGTGTAGCACACATATGCCACATATATATACATAATCTTCTTTGCACTATCTATGGATCTCTACATATATTCTTTCATTTCATTTTTTCCCTATTACAGCGAAGACTATGCTGATTTGTGTTCATATCTTATAAAGCTATATACGCCGCCAAAGAGATACTCTGACACCACGATCGCGGTTTACGGTTTCCTTTCATTTCCTCGACATTTGTACAACGAGAAGGCATTGTCGGCTCGTCATTGCGCGCTCACACGATCCCAGATCGTTCTGCCCTGTTATTAAAATTGTATTAACGGCGGCGGATCGTCGTGCAAACGCCACTACTGATAATCGGCGTCGAGTAATAACCGACAATAATAATATATCACGCTGTATACGCACACGTATATCACGTAATATCGTTACATCGCAAACGATTTTTCGCTTCGACGACGAACGTTTGCGCTCGCTGCGTTTCTGTTAAACGTTTCAGGTTTCAACTCGCCACTCAATTTGCAGCGTAAATAGAGAGGTCCGGACAATAGTTTTCTATTTATAATTACTCACACAAAATTACAATTGTCAAATTACAAATGTTCTAAAAGCTTGACAGATTTATTAAAAAATATAATAAAAAAAGTATGACAAAAAGGAAAACCAGTGAAAGAGATAGAGAGAGAGAAAGGAGAAAGAACAAGGCAAGTAACGAATTTGGTAACTTGTATATTACATTACAGAGGATTGTGCGAATTATGGATTTATAAAATAAATATAAATGTATATGACTTTACAAATTAATTTTCGAAACACTCGCTCGACTTTGCAAATTATCGCATGCGCGCGTGCACGAGTGTCTCGAAATAATAATTCTCGTGTTCTGAATCAAAATCACTATCGCTTCATGATTGTGATAACCTTTCTCTCTCCTTCTCCTTTCTTTACACATATATATACATATGTATATGTATATATATATATATAAACATGCAAGAGCATAAATGGAATTACGTTAAAACTAAATAACAGTAAAGTCCTTTCTCGGCAACTCTAAACTTACTTTCTCTCTCTCAGTTTCTTTCGCCAAGAAGAAAACGAGAAGCGCGACAAGCCGTTCTTGGAGCAACAACAAGGCATTTCTATTAGGTTGCAATAAAAAAATTACGATGTGGTGTCGATTTTTCATTTTCTCTACCTCTCTCTCTCTCTCTCTCTCTCATTCCCGGGGTACTAGCTGGTCGGTCCGGTCGGCCATTTTACTTTCGATAAATAATTCCTTCCATAAATATTAATAATATACAGTGTACAATGTACAGTGTGTATCCTTACGCGGCCGGGAGGCTTTACCTAAACTATACGGGCCGGTAAGAAGTTGCGACAAGAATATCTTCCTAGTGTACAGCGAAAGAGATAGAATACAGTTGGATTATCGCGTCTCACACCTTCCTATATACGATAATAATATATACGTAATATTGTCCTGTTGCGCTCGGCCGTCGGTAGCTTTAGGCACGATGTCGATCATACGAAGCAATATCGTGAAGCGCAAAAGAAGCTTGCGAATATGCTTTTAATTTGACATGCAAATGACCATACGAGGTGACCAAAGAAAATCATGCATTTGTTCAGAAATAAAATAGTAAGATTTTTCAAACCAGCGCACATCGAAAGTGGAATGCGTATATTTTCTAGAAGTGTTGTCGATTCTACTACCGCTAGAAAATAGAATTCTTCTAGACATATCTGTGGCAAAACTGCACGAATTTTTCTTACTCGATAAATAATTAGTAATAATATATCAATAACATTATCTAATATTATTTAATGACATTAACATTAATATTAACTTTAAGATTAAGATTATTATTAACGTTAATCTCGCGTAGACTCGCGTCATCGTTCTAGATCTACCGACGGCCCTTGAAGAACTCGCGCGATCTCTGCGGTCGAAGCTCGACTCGTAGCTACCGATTTTTACAGACTAACAACTAACTGTCCCCGCGGCGGCCGGTTACGCTCAGAGAAGATCCTATACGTTCACATTATATTATACAAAAATACGTCCCGACTACGCGAAGTGTGAAATCAATCGAGAGAGCGAACGAACGAAAAACGGAAATGTACATCGATTAAGGAAGGGAAGCGATTCGTTGATACCAAGCCCGAGGATATATCTGGCCGCTTCCTCCGCCTCGCATCTGCATCCGCCCGAGTGATGCTATTAACTTTTTTCTCACTTTCGACAAGCCCGTTTTACAGAAATATATTCATTCCCTTCGACCACTCGGAAAACTTTCCTCTCAACTAGCCTATCAGTGTGTATACATGTATTTATACTCATCGATATACGTACGCGCTGGCGGAATTGAAGATATCGCGATGAAGAGAATGAAAATGATTGATTGGGTATACTCTTAAAACAAACCGCTAAGAGCAATAGAAAATATTCACGTAAATCATGATTCATATAAAAACTCAGTATCTACAATTTTAGCTACACCGATCCCTCGAGGGACCGGTTTCGCCAATGTCGACTAGCTGATCATATCTTTTTTCGTTACTTATATCAACAAATTGTAACATATTACAATCTAAGAAGAAATATTGAAAATCCCGAACTGAGCCAGTCGACATTGGAAAAATCGACCTTATCAATCCTCTCTCGCGAGACGAAGCGTTAAAGACAATAAATAGGAAAAAACCGAACGGGAAAGAAAACGCAGACAATACTATAGGCGAGAGCCTATACATGTAATAATTCGCGACCGATAAGCACTATCCGATGATGTGTGCGAGGCCAAACGAGAAAAAAATCGCCCTAATGGGAGAACCAAAAGTCATCTATCATATAATTTGGTCAATCGCTCGTGAGAATCGTATCTCGTTACAATCTCTTACTACGAGCTTTTGTCGACTAGCACTGCGCACGCTGCGTACACTAGCGTAGCTACGTGGATTCTAATTTTTCCTTGCCCCGCCCCTTTCCCTTCGTCTTTCGGCCCAGATCTAGATTCGAGCAACCGCGGATTAAATTATCGATCGATTATACAATATATACGCTATATATCGATAGAGTTTCATCTTCTGGTTACAACGACATTTATAATTTGACGGGAAGCGAGGGTGTACCGACAAAATCCCAAAACGGAGCGCCCGCAACAGGGTATTGACTGCATCGATAGTACCGTGCTTGAATCACGTTGATTCACGTTGTATTCGTAGTAGTGTTCTGGCGTCAGCGTTCTGGCCTTAACTCGTTTAACATACTTCGTTATCTATCTAATTAAGATATCCACGAACAGTATACAGATAAAGAACATTTAATGAGTCCACCTATTCGTTTCATTGTTCTTCCTATATGTATATACATATATGTATATATATATATTGTGTGATACTTTATTGTATATCTTTATCGCATTTTTAATATTTAATACTTCGACGAAATAATTGCCTCAAAACTCTTTTTCTCTCTCTCTTCCTTGCATTATCCCGTACCATATATCCGTACATTTACAGAACATATATATATATATTGTTCAGTAAATATATATAATATATAATATATATTATATATAAGTATATTACAAATAAGAGGATATGCCCAATGCAAATTACTATTTCGATTTGTTTCGATCTTGCGCCTAATCGGCTTTTTTAACGTTTAACGCGGACATTGGTATGTGCAACCGTCAGCTACGTGTATATAATTTAACGCGAATACGTTTAGAACCATTACGAACCACAAGTATCTTCACCGTATTCGACAACGCGCTCTTAACCGACCTTACTATCGATATACTACCGATATACAATATCTCTCTCCCCAACGTAAAAACTACCTAAATATCGCTACATAATTATGGAAATCTTCCATCGAACTTAGAAAATGCATCTTTGACAATAGGCTTACTCGACGTACCAACGAAGAAAAACTGTTCAGCGCGGCACACGGCGCAATACTATCACAGTTAATCCTCACCAGGAAAATTCAGCACATGTTCGTGTCATTCTAAACGCCATTCGCGTTCAAACAACTCGCATCTAAGCTACATAATTATGCCCGGCTACGGGCGTCAAGGCGGAGAAAAGCGCCCTGTCAACGCGTGGTTCCCGCGAGCATTGATCGAAGTTAATTCAGACTCAGTTTGTTCCTTTTTACATAAAAGAAGGTAGACGGATATTCACTTAAACAACAATTTAACTTTTGTCAATGCTCGTGGGAAGGACGCTGTATCGGAATAACACGTGTTGCATACTCGGCGAGCATATTACAGGAAGTATGATACAATTTGCCGATCCTATTCGTAGTGAGACGATTCGACTGACAATCAATGATCCAAGATTGATTGGGCCTAACAGAAAAAAGCAGGACATATTAGCTTTCTTTCATTCTAGGCATATTACACGGTATTTACAAAATATCGCTCCGTCTTCTTAATTCCATTTGGAATCCTGGAACAATCATTTATAGTCTGCTTTAGTAAAATGGAATGTCACGTCTGTCAAAAAAACTTTACTTAATAACAACTTAACTCTACTTTTTTAATTACTAACAATCAATATTTACATGACTATCAAAATGATTAATCTTGAAATAGCGTACTTTTTGCAAGTAGCATCGGATTGATGATAATGCTGCGTAATGATAGAGAAAAGGTGAACGTGTGCATTTATTAGTAACACGGAAGAATCAGGTTTCGTTCATTGTAAAATCCATTTTAGACAATCTATAATTGGAGATAGAATTGAATATAATTCTAGGTAAAATTTTATATAAAAAAAAACCGTTTACTCGAAATTTAAATTATATCACATTCTATTGTGTTAATTGCAAGATTTTGTTAAAAATTCGGCGTACAACTTAAAAACAAAATTTCGTTTTAAATTATAGATTATCTTTAAGATTAACAATTTAGAAATCTCGAAGTTGAGTGTTACAAGACACATATTATTAATCACAAATGCATAAGTCACAGAGTGATTATTGTACACTATCCCCCAGCATTAGAGCGACGTCCATTCAAATTGCCCGAAAAGAAATATGAGAATCACTTGTACAAAAGATACAATAAAATCAGTCAAAATTAAATAAATAAGATATACAATTGTACAAAATTACAGCAGCGGATCCAATTCTCGCCTAAACAGAGTTTAATAAGATCATACACGATATCATCCCCGATAAAATATGAGGAGGGAAAATTCAGTTTCGATACGAAAATATTATAACATTGCGTATTGTCCTTAACCAGTACGCGTTTCCTATCGCAGATCATTCTATTATTACGCTCCGAGATCCTCAGCAACGAAAGGTTGCGTAGAATGGTAAGTGAAGGTAGGTACCTAATCCCTTCACAGAGCACCAAAGGGATCGAGTTGGACAGCATTGCCTTGTGGCTGAGCCGCTGCAGCGGGCTGAGGTTGAGGATGCTGCTGTTGCAAATTAGGACCAGCCATCATGGGATTCGCACCGGGCATGGCCATCATGGGCGCAGCTCCTCCCGCAACCATCATACCGCCACCGGCGGCGGAAGCACCTGGGATAGTACACATCATCGGCCTCATACCCTGCATACCCTGCATACCCTGCATGCCCATCGGCATACCTTGCATACCCTACAGACACCAGAGAGCGAGAGAAATGAGACGTATGTACAAAAGGAAGCGTGTGCCTGCGAAACTTAATGTCTTCCTTAACGGTTAAATTAACGGCGAGTTTGATCGGTCATGATTTTTACATTACTTGAACAAATGGAATTCAAGCGACGACTGTAAAGAAGAGAATTACACTTTGAGATTCTTATTCTATCTTATGGAATACTTTATCAGCAACGCAGCAACTGCGTTAATTTTGGTAAAATCGCATATGCTGCCACAAATGTGTGTATTCCATAAGATCAAATAAATATTATAAACACATAATTTTCTGTTCAAACAAGACCTTTGCTCAATTCGTTTTATAATTGCGACGTTTCCCTCGCAAAACGTCGCAAAAAAAGATAGTGTAGCTTAATAATAATATTCTAATACATGTTACCTGTACAACAGTATAATAAATTTATACACGAGCGCGCTTTACGTAATCCTAAAACTTATCTACATTGTCTACATTACAGAGTAACACCTCAAGCAAATTACAGCCAAGTACGCAGGGAAATAAATCAATCTATAGAAATAACTGCGATAAAATATTATCAACTACATTCTCTCGGGACGTGCGCTAAGGGTACATATTGATGCATAAGCACACAATGCGAGGAAACGGAATGAAGTGTCGAGTCAGACTGTCATCTCTCGACGATTCGCCGCATCGCCTCGTGAAAAGAGAGACCGCTATGCGATTTGTACAACGATTGTCATTATTGACAGAGTGAGTTAGTGACAATTCGTGTTATCACACGCTATCTTGTACAGAGACAGACTCGTGATCCGGTGAGGTGAGATGAGTTTGGCGTTTTGTGTTAAACAACTCGTTCGCTGCGTGTGTGAAACAGAGACGCTCGTGATCATGGGACTTACCATCATCGCGGGCTGCGAGGGGAAACCTATAGTCGTGGTGGTCGTAGGTAGCAGTTGCGTCATTCCCTGGCCCTGCAACACAGCCGATAACATGCCATATGCTGTGCATGCAAAACACACTCACCTAAACGGTGCTAATTGACGAGATAATTGTCGTTACGGTATTACGAAGAGAGCGGAAGAGTCCCACGACGGGCGGGATGGCTTAACGGTAAACTTACATTTCAACGTGTCTAGCTGAACGTACGAGAACTGAAGGTACGCTACACACTTAGCGAATCGCTAACAGGCTAAAATAATTTACTGGTCCGCGTAGGATTCCTACGCGATAGACAATACCGTAAGGAACAAACGGTCAATGATCTACGGTTCTGAGGGTGAGAACAACTGAGACTTCTATCGAGAACGAGGGAGCGGAGTTGTTCTTTGCAAGTGATGCATCGGAAACAGCATAGACGTGTATGTGTGTGACTTTGTGTACTGACAATCAGAAGAAACATGCTGGAAATACCTAACGGCAACAAAACTGAAAAGGGGAAAGCTCACCATGGGCCGGTATCCGGCGCCAGTAGTAGCTGCCATTGGCTGCGGTGTCCATCCGCCGGCCGGACCGCCCGCTTTCGCGGCATTCTTCGGTGAGTTCCACTGCATTCCTCTGCAAAGAAAACAAATTCGTCAATACGCCAATGTCACGTGTTGTCTACAAACGCAGTCTTGAATCGCCTTTATGAATTATTCACAAGTCTGTAATCATCCTTATAAATACATTCATTTTGGAAAGGCTTACGTAACTGGATTTACATAACGCGAATCGCTCATGAATAAAAACGTGATCGCCGCTTACTTGACTTGCTGCTGCGCGCTCTTATTGATGGTTAAGTTCTGCGCAAGGCTGGCTAGACTGGTGTCCAAATCTCCGGTCAGGACCTTGCCGGTGTTGGCTGCGCCGACTGGTTGCCCCGCGGCTGAAATAATATCAAATTCAAAATACCCGTAGACGTACTGACACCAAACTGTCAAAACTCCTAAGCAACATCTACGTCAGACAGAGACCCGAATATGAAATGAAGATTTAAAGCGAACCGTGGAGTTTACGAAAGTTTATAAATTTGCAGATTTAAGCATAATTGTCAAGCGACGTAATTTCTGATTTAAAAAAAAATACTGAAGGGACTTAGTCTTAAAGGTTCCTGAACCGTCCATCCCAAAATCTCTATAATAGCGTGCAGAAATTCTCTAAATAGAATAACGCGGAATTTACTGTTATTAGTCGCTGTACAATTAGCCACATGCGGATGATTGTAAGCAAATTGAATTACAAATTATACATGAGAACGAAACAACGATCAGAGGTTATCGTGTTTTATGATTAGTACACTTAAGCAACGTGACGTAATCGTCTGTTTTTCTCGGTGATTTTTACGATATCTATAACGTCGTGTATAACACAGGCGTGCTTATCTACTTGTGAAAACGCTGAAATCAATCGAAATTATCTAAAGCACTCACATATTCAAGTATAAATACTTAACACAGCTTGTCGATCGAGCAACATACATAAATCGAAAAAGCAATTCCTGGACAATACAAAAGTCCAAAAGACATCTTGCAATTAATCAGATACCTACAAGGAATGCCGCATGAAAAATGTACACGTTTCCCAGATATCTCATGGACTTTTACGTTGTTTAGGGTGCGATGGGTCGCGACGCAACCAGGTGAAAAATGGAAAAAAGAGAAATAAAGAAACTCGATGGGGAGACAACCAGTGCGACTCTGTCATGCGATCGGCGTGAATTAGATTAGGCATTCCCGTCACCTGGCATCGGCTGCTTTGCCGGCGAACCGTACCCCACGGGGACTTGGGCTTGGGCAGGGATACCGTAGCCGACGATCGGCGCACCGGCCATCATGGGTTGTCCGGTCGCGGGATCGTTCATACCGAACATACCGGCGCCCGCCGCTGCCGGCGGCATTTGTTGTTGCAGCGGCTGTTGTTGCGCGGCCATCGCAGCCTGCTGCTGTTGCTGCTGCTGGACCATGGGCGCCGGCCGCGACGGAGACCCACCCAGTGCCATGCGGATACTATCATTGAGATCGTCGAAGGCGCTCTTGCTGCTGGCCGAGGCGGCTGATGCCGGGGCCGGGGCCGCTGCCGCCATTGACGCCGTCGCCGCCGCCGGCCTACCATGTGACGCTCCGCCGCCGAGGGTCGGAGACATAGCACGCGGTGCGGCACCGTTCGCGGCGGCAACGGCGGTCGCGGGTGGCGGTGGTCTAGGTGGCGGCGTAGCCGTGGACGATGTCTTGCCGGCGGCGGGCGGTGCCGCCGACGCCACCACCTCGGCCGCCGCAGCATCCCCGTCGCCGCTGTTCGCGGGGGTCCTCATCATCGCGGCGGCAGCGGCGGCGGACCCGTCACCCCCGAAGAGATCCGCCTGTCCGGCACTGAAAAGGTCTCCTCCGGCCGGCGCCGTTCCCGTTTGCGCCACCTGCGCCGATTCACCGCCAACAACGCCGCCGGCACTCTGATCGAAGAGCCCGAACGCGCCCGCGTTCGTCGCTTGTTGACCTCCGGTGGTACCGAGGGACGGGAAATCGGACATGAAGGGATTAGGTACGGACGCGGCCGTTCCTGGGGCGCCAGCTTGCGCAGAAAGTGATCAAGGTGCATAAGTTAGCTTCCTCCTCTCTTGCGTCCGGACGAGGTAACAATGTGAAATGTCTCGCAATTGTTATACCGTCACCCGTTAATACGTCAAAGACAAAAAAAGGAGCATTCGAATGCAATGTTAACGCGATGCAGCGCTCGGTCGCATTCCTTTATAATATCGCGCGTCAACGTTGCACTCGTATAATCAGCGCTTACGCTCAAATGCCGGAAAGAAAAGATGCCAGAGTAAATTGTCGCTATTACTGTAAAAATGATTTTGTATAGCTATAAACGCTGCTTCGTACACTCTTTGCTCGTAGCGTTAAACGTGTGACTGCTCAGGCGTACGTAAGTAAAAATGTAAGATGTATGATGCAAAAGTATCATAAGAATGGTCGCAAAAGTTCTACGACAGAAAGAGAAAGAGAGACGTGACAAGACGGCGGAAAAAGAAAACGAAAGTGCACGGAACTTGTCAATCGCTTGTGAATGCGCTCGCAATTCCCGCTAATGTCTACTTCGCTAGTGAAGCACTTACTGGATTGCTGATCTTGATTTCCGAATACGGAGGAAAAACTATTATCTGTAACAAAGTTATTATTTGCCGGTGGCGCAGTTGGCGCGAAACCTAAAAGAAAAAAGAAAATGGAAAATGAAAAGAAAACGAGAAAATAAGAAGGGGGCGAGGAAAAAGAAAATATCATAAACAAGCGCGGTGACGGAAGAAGCAGCGATGATCACTGAGACTAATATCGACTAATAAGTGCTCGTGCTCACCAGTACCGTTGGTCATCCACATGTTGTTCTGCATCTGGGCGGCGGGTTGCGCGGCTGCCGCGGCCGGTTGTGGTTGCCCCCCGAATATGGTCGCGAACGGATTGCCCGCCAGTTGCAGCAGATCGTCCGACGCCTTCTGAGACTGCTGGAACAACGTGAATTCTGATTATCTCGCCTCGCGTGGAACCACGTCTCTCGTCGAAGAACGCAGACGTACCTGGCCGTCGGCTGATGTCGCACCGAACAAGTCCACGATCGGTTGGTTAGCGTTATTGGTCGGCGAACTGAGGAAGGGATTCGTGCTAGTGCTGGATGGCGACTGTACTTTTGCCTGTAATACACACGCCAGGAATTAAAACAGCGTTCATCCGCAATGGAAAGAGAAATTGGAAAGCTAACACAATTGCCGTCTCTCAAATTCTTCCGAGCTTCGTTTCTCATCTATTCGAATACCGTAATACTTAGCGACACCACGCGAGCTGGTACCTTGTATTGATTCATGGCGGCTTCCTCTTCCGCGAGAGCTTGCTGTCGCAACGCCTCGTCGATGTGGCCGTTCCCGGTTTGCTCGAGCCGCGCATTACTGGCTGCTGTTCCGAACGCGGTACTGGTGGAAGACAGGGCGGACACTCCCGACTTTACATTGGTTCTATTGCTGCTTTTGGGCGATGATAGGATGTTGTGGTGTCGATGGATGGAGAGAAAGAGGACGGACAAGAAGAATACGGAAGGTCCGTTTCAGCGAGTTCGTAAAATGTGGCGAGAGAGAAAGAGAGAAAGGAGCGTAAAGGAAAATTGATAATTGAAAACAAAGGAGAAGAGACAAACAAAAAAACAAAAAACAAACGGTGTAGTACGTATAGATGTAACAATGCGTAGAAATGCATAGTGTGCATTACCACTCGCGCGCTCGCACGTATCCCTCCTCTTTCTCACGCGCGCATACACACACACACACACAACCTTTCGCTCTTTTTCACACGCTCTTGCTCGTCTTTTACAACTTTTTTACTATATTTCCTAATGTACATATGCACTTACAGGTGTTCTACATTTTGTAGTGAAATATAGCGTCAAGCTTGTGTACTCAATCAAAATTATGTTACATAGCACACATTGATTTGAAGACTGTTCATTTTTCAATAGCATACCATGAGCAAGGCGTTAAATTCGCTACGATAATAAGCGATTTTATACAGATAAATATATATGCATTAAAACGTTACGTAGCTTTTACACGATACTCTCATTTCAGGATATTTTAACGTTGATTATGTATCTCGAGTTAAACATTTATTACGAATAATAAATATCGTGAATAATAAATGCCATTTTATCCAACAAATTTCACTATGGTATAGCCACATGAATCACTATTCCATCATCATCAAGTTTTCTGACTATAAAATGAAATCGTCAATATTGTTAATTGCAATTGACGATTTATCATAGCATGCTCGATATCCACTATAATCAATAGATTATAGGGAAATACGTTAATTATCTAAACACATTGTTGTAAATGTCATGCAGTGTACACGAGCGATAAATTGGATAGCGCAATAATTACAGTTACATATTTTCCGTGAGAAACACACATATACATAAAAATTGAATACCAAATTTAGGAGCATAGCATGGATACCTAAAATAGGTCGGGATACAAAAGTAAATCGAATATTCTATAACTAAATATTAAATATCGGAGAAAATTAACCTCGTATCCAGGGGATACCATCTCGACAAATCTTACAAGTTGGATAACTATTCAAAAAGAGAATATAGCTTTTCAAAGATGGTGCTTAATAGTACGATCTTCTAAAACCTCTTGTGACATTTGCTTAAGACAAAAATGTTAACTTGGTATTGTTGTAAATATAAAATGATCAATGAACTTATCGTATTCGAAATAAACGAACGCAATCGTGTCATAAATCTTTATATGTGCATGTGCGATAAACGATAATGTTTTAAATATTCATAGCTTAAGAAGCTTGTAAAGATGTGTAGAAGAACGTGTTTCTGATCATCGGATATGAAAGAACAATGAGACGAAAACGATGGACTCTGGGGAAGTATATAGAGAAGGACAAGTATATCGATTTCAATAGCATTCAACATAGGACGTTTAAAATTATCCCTACATCGATTGTTATGTGAGACTTAAATGATTCGAATATATGGAAAAAGTCGGCATACCTTGCTGACTGCGTTGGCGTGTTCGCGGCGGAGCCCTTCTTTCCTTCCAGGGAAGCGAGATGTTGCTCCAAGGCATCCAATAAACTGCTCGGTGCCTAAAAAACCAGTTTGTCCATTATTCATAGAGCGTTATTAAAGTTTCTCAATGAGGTGCAAGGTAAAATTTTGCTGTGCATTTGGTCTAGAAGAGATTTCTCTCCGCTAAAATGCATGCATTTATTGTGGGAGAATTTGTCAGCTTCGTCATATTTTCCTTTAAATGCGCACGTGTGCAAAAAACACACGACAAACAGTAATATAATCAGCTAACGAAATCTCCCAGAATAAATATCGCCAAATATCTATACTGCTCTATACTAGGCCACACTAACTCTACCTCATTAAGATAATCAGAGTCATTACCTGTCAGTAATGTAAGAGGAAGAAACAAATAAAAGTGTTACTTTATCGATTAAATATTGATTTTTTTTCACTCAATGTTAATAGTTCCTCAAAATGGTGACCGATAATTAAATACAGGCAATTGGACAAACCCTTGTCACAGTATAGCAAGATAGCGAGATAATGAATAGTACTTTGAACGCGCATATACCTTTGTCAGATCCGGTATGTCCCCTTTGTCGATGCCAACGTTCTGTAAAGGAAAAAAAAACATATGTTCAGTAACTATCCTTAATCATAGGCTGTCTTCACATTAAGACTGTGAAACTTACTTCCGCGACTTTCAAAAATTCCCCGACCCTGTCCATGCGTATGAGGAACTTCTTGTAAAGATCTAAAGCGTCCCGACATTGTTTCTTGTTCATGTCGAAATATTTCTCTGAAAGGCCACAACCGCAATCGTCCGATTAATTGATTTATTCTTACGGGTCCTTGGACACGCCCTTCGTCATGCGATAGGAAAACAGAATATTAAATGGCGTTACCTAACAGATTAATGATGCCGTCATTATAGCAGGCGAATAACCGGATAAGATCTCGAAAGAGGAGCATGAAGGCCATGTTTATGACGCCATTCGTGAGGTCGTTAGCCGTGCAATCGAATTCCAGCAGTGCGTCGAGTTGCGACTGCAGTACCGGCAAAGTTTTCAGGAGTTTCTCGGCGTTCATTGTGCGTAGAGTGCCGTCCTCCTTCCTGCAATGTCGATTACGCGACGAAGATTAATTTCCATTATTAAATACGGCGAGATAGAATTTGCCAGAAAAAAAAGAGCGTTGTCAACACATACCCTCTTTTCACTTTGCAAAAGTCGAACGCTACCGTCCTGTAGGAAAGAGCCTTCTCGTTGAGGTATTTAGCGTAGCGCCTGATGAAGGGTGACATGTCATATCCTGATGCGAACAAAAACGACAATCACTCACTCTTGTCCATATAAAATAATAAAATACCGTAGACGTAATGAAAGCATTAATAGGCATCGCCACGCAACAATGCTTAAAAGTGAAATTAGAAAGTCGGCGGTGCTGCCGGTGCGATTGCATTAATTTCATAAAGTTACACAAGCGTGCGTGTCAGCGCCGATTGGAAATTACAATTTTGTCAAACATCTTGTGAGTCTAATCATATAATCATATTGTCTGGGTGTAATTGTACATCAATTGGTACGACACACAGATTAACAGTTAGCTCTGTAAACGTGTACATTAACTTGTTTTAGTCTCGCAAAGTTAGAATTGAACACATATACAGGATTACAAAGCACGATTAATGACTACCATTAATATAACGAGAAGGTTTGTGATTAGAACTCACCCACGCGTATTCCTGCTTCATGCCCAAAGAGATAGAAAGTTAGTCCAGGTTAGTAAATCATACACATAGTTGGCAGATACATGGAAAAGAGAAAGATTCGCATTTTTTCCATATGGATGATAGCTACGGAACGCGAGGAAATTAATAGCGCGAGAACTTTTCAAAGAATTCGCGATTGGAACGAGGAATTTTGCGTCGTTTGAACAATTAATTATCTATATTCGACAACCGCTGCTTCTCGATGTAACAGTCGATCAGAGTTACATTCAATGATCTCCAATCGGTGGATAAAATTAGGTCTCCCGTAAACAAGTTCTCTCGACGTGGAGTCGAGGTGTCCGCGATCGGTTATTCAAATTACGGCGTGTTGCAATTTTCCGTGCGACGCGTGCATATCAGATCAGCCCGCTCGACTATCGGCACACGAGTCGTCTGATGATCGAACGCCGTTGTACGATATTTCGTGAGCGACAGTGCGAAAAGCCATACACATCGTGCCGTGATAAGTTCACATCGCAATGGTTTTGTTAATACGAAAATGTACGTTAATCTTCCCAAATGAATCGCATTTCCTAATTTTGTTACGAGATTAGTTTCCCCTCTGAGTAGGACACTCTAGAATCGATGGATTTATTCGTTACGAAATTTAAAGAGCAATTAAAACAATTGGAAAAATTGCAAGAAATTCTTTATATTGCAACTACTTATTTCAAAAAGACTATTCCTTCGTAAATTCAAAAGCTATTCCTTCGTAAATTAAAGAAACGCCAGCGAATGAGGTAACATTATTCTTTTCGAATTTCGTAAGGAATATAATACTCGGTGTCGTTAGCATCCATCAATTCTGGCACATATCGCGGTATCCCGGGGAGAACGAAAAGCGCTGATACGATTATTTGCAAAGTAATCACCTTGTACGCCGCTCTTGTCGAGGAAATTGTTAAGCTGAAATGTGCTGTTGCTGGATGCAAGATACTGCGTGAACCTCTGCAAACAAAAAAGTTATTTCAGAAGGACGTGTGGGGGGGGGGAGGGGGCGAGGGGACGTCTCGCGGGTCAGACGAGACCAAAAGGTAATTACCTCGTTGCCATAACACATCATGTGGTGCACGGTGATCAGGGCCTTAAAGACCACCGTCCAGTTTGTGTTCTGCGAGCGTTCTATCAAGAGATTAGCGAGCTGCGGTATGGAGACGTTCGGTTCATTGGTGCAATGGATCAGATCTGAAACGAGAGGAGGAGTTGTTAGCTTCTGGCGAGTCCAAATTTTCGGTATTTTCTGGAGATAAAATCTCGGGTCTCCAGTCTCGAGCCGGAGGCTCCGAGAGGGAACGAGAGATCTCACGTTTCGCGCGAGCAACAATGAGAGGCACTGACCTCCACCTTATAAGATTACAACGTAATTTACATATGTATGATTCACAACCATCAGCGGCGACAACGCTATCGCATTGTGAGAATCTCTCGCGAATGTGTCGTTTCCCCTCGCCTCGGATTTCGAGCCGCGGTCTCGGTAGGAATACGTATACGTATCCGTTCGTACGTAACTTTTGCGGAAACCGCTCGGCAATTACATACGTGAAAGTGCGAGGTAAAAGCGAATCAATCTTGAATCGTTGGTACGACGAAACAGTGGCTGCCTGGCGTAACTTATTAGGTACCATTAAGTCGTTCGATTAGAATCGTCGACCGCTTCTTACCTCAATGAATTCTTAACAGGGGCGAAAAAGTGTACCATCGCGAGCAACGGACTCGAAGCGGGCGGATGCAATTGCACAAAAGTGGACCGGCCGATTTCATTCAGCTCGACTCGAAAACGAGAGAGAGAGAAAATCCGAGCAGTGGGACGATTTTAATTGTTCCAGATCGCACGCGATATCAGCGTCGGTAAACAGTTTTCCAAAGACGTTCACGCACTATAATTTCCAGTTGCAGCTTTCAGCAGTCGGATGATTCAGATGTTGAGAGATGATTCAAAGGACTCGCATGATTCAGCATTCGCATAATTCCCGTCATCATTCTTTTTACTTGGCATTGTGTCAGCGTGCGCGTAGCAAAACCAGACGATTTAACAGTCAGGATCCGCGATCTTCATTTTTAATTATGTTCGCGTAGCTTGCAGCATCAATTAATCTCAAAGGCAAACAGCTACGCCTGATAACCGTATAAAGGGAAGAATCGCGGCAATTGGCACAAGAATTAAATAACACTTTGCGATACAATTCCATTAAATTGTCATGTACAGGCGCGACCCGGCAGTGATAAACCGCGATAACCCACGGGAGGCTTTGAAAATAAGGGATCAAAGGAAAAACAATGTGTTTTACACGCGCATACGATTACAATCCAATTTAACGGCGTAACGCGAGGCTTCCTTTTAATTGCTAATTAAATTTACGCGACACGTAAAGCGAGACGTTCCACCTGATTAATTGTATAATTCTACCCTAAAATACTAGGTCGTCTAAGAACGGTCGAAAATTCGATACTCGCCACTTCTAACGGACCCTTCGCTCTACCTTCGCCGTGCCTGTGCCTAAAAATGGGAATAGTCGATGCTATCGATCACCACCGACGGTGACTCTGACCCGCAATGTACCTTGAGGCTCGCGCAAACGTGTCGTGAACCCTGCCGAGGGTGAGGCGAACGTGACAACGAATTCACGAAGCGAACGACGGCAATCTACGACGGCGTCCATCAATCGCGATTGATTAACGAAAGTAGCGGGTCCACGTCAGGAGGACGGCGATACCGCGTAACAACAAGGTCAACAATCGCGTCGCCGTGCGGCTCCAAACGTGATGACATTCGGCGTCGTTGCTGACACGGCGGTCCACACTCGCCGGTCATCTGGTACCGCGGTTGCTATGGGCGCATTATTAATAGCGACTCGGTTGCCTGCACCGAGTACGCACCGAGACTTGTTTACAGTCAATTCTTATATTTAAGGATCGTCTTAAATACCTCTCGAATTACTTCTTAAGGCCTGTGTCCACGATGCTAGAACCTGGTCCAAGTTCTAGCTCCGAGAAATGTGATAGCCAAATCAACTTGCAGCTTTTATGGCATAGCTGCAAGTCGATTGGCTACACATTTCTCGAAACTAAAACTTGGACCAGGTTGCAACATCGTGGACGCAGGCCTTTAGCCAGTAAAATGATCTGTGCAGCATCCGTACGGATCATGTTTTGACTAAATACAGTTTTCGAACATTTAACGTGGCCATAAGAAACTCGGTACAGCGATGGACAGAATGATTGAGACACGTTTTGCTTTAATGAGTTTATGAACAAGCATTTAGATTCAGGTTTACGTTCCGACATTTTTTCTGAGGGAAATTTTACTGGAAATGTACATCGAAAACACTCAAAAGGGTTTCAAAACGGCCGTGGAGTAAAATATTCCTCGGGGGAGGAGATTTTGGAGCGTAACCCTGAATCTAAAGACACATTTCTAAACTCACTAAAAAAGAAGTGTCGCCTGTCCATCATTTACAAGCCTCGGTGCGCACTCAGAGCGCACACTGAGAAGCATATTCGATTAAATATAATCGGATAAATCCAATTACATAATATCAAACGGATGTATCCGATTAAATTGTATATCCGATGAAAAAAAATCGGTGTTTCGATCAGATTTCATCGGTAACTGCATTTCATCGGATGTATACATAATTAAATCGGAAAAATTAACCATCGGAAACACAATCTAATTGGTTTATCCGACGGAAATTTTTCTCAGTGCACTAGTGCAAGCAACCGAATTCGCTATTGGACACGCAGAGCGTATCGTTTATTCTTCTCTCTTTCTTTTCGAGCTTCGCCCGATCAAAAACCCTCGGATAATTTGAAGGCATTTTTGTTCTCCCTGAAAGGAGAATCTACTTCAAATCGAGGACACGAGGACCGATTAAGGACTACGCGATAGAAGTGCGCGGCATCCTGCGCGAAGGACGAATGAAATATGTCAACGGGAAAGCTAACGTAAAAGGTGCAGTTTAACGTGCACAATTAATAGCGAGTTAACATTTACGTAACATTTTCGTATACGAATTCTTATTCATTCTTATTAGTCATTCACGGTTATCGCAACTTGCATCGCAGTCGTTCGCATAATTCGCCGAGAGCATCACGTCCACGAGGGAGAGGCCCGCGTTTATTTGACCGACGCGAAAAAGACGGGAGTTAAGCAAGGTTTCGCCGCGGATAGTTTCCCACGCCTTTAACGTATCTCTCTCGCCCGGTCGACCGATGATCCCGCAATATCGAAGTCACGACGTGAGGGCTTGGAATGAAAGTGCAATGCGCGCGCGCGTAAGAGAGAGAGAGAGAGAGAGAGAGAGAGAGAGAGAGAGAGAGAGAGAGAGAGAGAGAGAGAGAGAGAAAGAAGAGAGAGAGAGAGAGAGAGAGAGAGTGTGTGAGTGTGTGTGTGTGTGTGTGTGTGTGTGTAGCGAAGGGGCACCGGATAAACGCGAATAAAGCAGTGAATCAGCACCAAGTATTGAACCACGACCGTTCTGCAAACTGCAACATTTCCATATGGTTATCGCGCGCGCTACCAAGCGCACTCGACGTTATCGCGAGATGATTGCCTCTAATTGGCGCGAATAGCGACCCGGCGAACGAAAGTAATTATTTATCGATGGTAATTATCCGCCCTTTAATTTCAGCTATAATCCAGTGACAGCGGCAGAGACGAGATTGAAAATTTCGACCATTCTTTCCGTGGCGATCCCGCAAGTTGTTTCATCCTTTTAATACATCGATTAACAAGTAATAAGGATAAGAAAGAAGATTAATGTATGTAAGAAAATGTAATAGGGACGAAGAAACTGCTCTTTATCTCTATTGCAGGAAGAGAGGAGACTCGTTCGCTTATGATCATAGCGAAAAAAGTTAAGTTCGTAAAGTTTAGGAACTTAGGGGCTCATTTCAACTGAAGACGATCGCGGTCCGTGTCAAACGCAAAAGGTGCACGAGCGATCTGCTCTCCCGAGCGGCGTGTTGCCCGACCTTGCGAGGCTTCTCATTCTAATTATAATCTCCCAAACACGGACGGATTTAGCGGTCAAGCAGCGTCCGCGTTGGCATCGTCGTCGACTGTCAAAAAAGCAGACACGTCCTTCAAAGACGTCCCATTCAAAGTTCAGGCCGGGGAGATTCACACGCGAATACGGCACGCGCAACCGACTTTCTTATCGCTTCGACGCGCCGTGAAACAGGTGCGGAAATCCGCGTCTAAAGCCAACGGCACTATTTTTCCCCTAATTGGATTGCTTACGAGAGCCAGTCAAGATTCAGTCTTAAGCCCGTATCAGGCTACGGATTGAGATTGAGATTAGATTGAAACTTGACCAATTAGAGTAAAAGTTACTAAACTTGAGATTAGTATACTTTACTGTGTGTGATTGGTCTCAAATTTCAATCTAATCCTATAATAATTTCAATCCGTAGTCTGATACGGGCTTTAAGTCATCTGATCTAAAGCCAACGGCACACACGATACTATTTCTCCTACTGGATTCCTGATTGGCACTCGTAAGCAATCCAGTAAGAAAAATATTATAGTATCGTACGCCGTTGGCTTGACGAAACGAAGGGACGCAGCTCTGCCGAACGGGGCGAAAATCCAGTCGTGCGATATGACGCGCATGAAGACATAATATATGATAATAAACAGGCGGTATGAGATTTCAATAATACTGTGTGCAATATTGGATATCAATTATTAATCTATTAAGATAACAGCTCGGACGAAACATTAATACCAATTCGGTTAGCCGTTACTCTTTTTCTCTTCATATCCGTTTTTTTTTATATTATCGTCAATATTATGATAAGCAAAGAGGTATTAACGTTAAATATTTGAAATTTATCAGCCACGGACAAAATATGCGTTTAATCGACGTAACGAGCACTCGTTCGGTGACACAGCTGATAAGAGACGCAGAGAGAAAGAGACAGTAAGAGACTGAGCGAACGAATGAGTGAGCAAGTGAGCAAGTGAGAGTGAGAGAGAGTGAGAGAGAGAGAGAGAGAGAGAGAGAGAGAGAGAGAGAGAGAGAGAGAGAGAGAGAGAGAGAGAGAGAGAGAGAGAGAGAGA